CCACTTGTTTATCTTCAAGCCTTTAAGACCCCAGATGCTATAGCTTTTGATAGCCGGGCACCATCAGCTTTCTTCACCACATTTGCTTATGTACCTACTTTGTCTTCAGCGATCATGTAGGGAAGGCGAGCATCATGGAATACCAGTTTAATAGAACAAAGCAGTTTTTTGTTGAGGGAGTACTTGAATGGAGGTGCAATATCCATCTGCTACCTTAATACTAAACCTATAAATATATGCACATGGATCTATTTTCCCATCCTCATATATAAATATAGTACATAAGTACATGCATGTATTTAGACCTCTATGAATGCCCTTTGCCTCCTACTTCTTTCTTCTATTTCCTTTTACTTTCCTTTTGTCCCACTATCATGCTCAGCATTCATTTGGGTTTCAGTAATTCCTCTCAAGCCCTACCAGGCCTCCTCTACCCTCCTCGCCACTGATTTTGGATCACTTGTTGTTCTCTTGTCCCTGGATTTGTTAACACCCACTTCATTTCCTCTGCTCCCCCGTCCCCCATCTCCCCCTGGAACTATCGGTCCCATTGTTTTCTCCTCCAGATTGTTTATCCCACCTATCTTATCAAGATTGACATGCAAAGACAATAATATGCACAAAAAACAAGACAAAGCAAAGCAACAAAAGAAAACAACAAAAACCAACAACAAGAAAAAGAAAAGCCTATGAGTAGTTCAAGGTCTGTTTGTTGACCTTTAGAAGTGTTTTCCAGTCCAGTCTGATGGGGTGCCATGCCCTGGCCCCAAAGCCTATTTTTGGTATTCCCTGGGGACTTCGTTGCTCTGTTCCCCTTGCTGTTCTGTTGCACACCCTTAGTGTTTCGCCTCGGTGGTGGGGTCAGATTGGGCACAATTCCCACACTGTGTCTCCAGTGTTGGATCAGTGAGAGATGTTGTGTCTCGTAGGGGGGCTGGCCCTATGCTCCTCTCTGTGTTTTGGCTGCTCTGAGCAGGAATATTATCCTCAGGGCTTGGTGTAAACAGAACTCTTGCATAAGGGTCAGTTTGGGCTGAATCTTCTTTCTCCAGACTCTGGGAAGTCAGTCTGAATTAAGACTGACACACGATGACATGATGGTGAGGGATTTACAACACACTCTCTGTGTGAG